AGGATGGATTGATGGAATGGCGGGTTTTTCGGGGTCGATCATATCGGTACGTCTGTGGCCACCACGAGCGTCTTCTCCGTCATCAATGGGAACAAGGGAGTTGCACTCGGTGGTCTCGGATCTTTTCCTCCTCGTTGAGAGGTCTCGTCTCTTCACACAGGATGCTTCCATGGGAACGGGGAGACCTACAGCGGATCCGCCAACAGGACCAGGAAGGGGGTTCCGTGCCGCAACTGGAGCGAGAAAGCCAATGACATTCAGTACGTCGCGCATTGTAAATGTCAAAGTCTAGAGGAGGGAAGGAGAACGTCCAGAGTGTGAATATCGGGAGCGCTCCGGAACAATCCCCAACACATATAACGCTGATTCCGTTCCAGATAAGTGGCGCTGCTCCTATACGATGAACTCTGAGACTGTTTCCTGTTTCCAGGTTCACGTTTGGAGATAATCTGCAGGAAAACTACTGCCGGAACCCGGACGGTGACAGTCATGGCCCCTGGTGCTACACCAAGGACCCCAAAACACCCTTCGATTACTGCGCCATCAAACATTGCGGTAAGTCACGCGCACGGCGGCCATGCTGGTGATTCCAGACTCTGCGAGTATTCAATTAGTAATTGTCTTTTCTCTCCTGACAGATGAGGGGCCTCCAATCAGTCTAAAGGAAGCAGGTGAGACCTCTGGATGTACAAATTCCCCCCAATGGAGGCCGGAGGACTCCTCGTTTGTATCATCAGATCATTCTATCCGTACACCAGACTGAAAAATAGGAGGAGCCCAGAAGTCTCCATATTGGTCTCAGGATGGTGGAGGTCTAATGATGAGATGTTTTGTTCCTTTTATTTCCTCAAATATTTCCAACACAATTCGGGGGCTCAACCAGTTGTGGACAATTCATGTGCAGTGCATCCCGTCCTTCTGACTCTCCAACTATGTACATGATGGAGAGATACAAAGTAACATTGTTTATAGACATTGATCAGAGGGAGATAGAGAGATACAAAGTAACATTGTTTATAAACATTGATCAGAGGGAGATAGAGAGACAAAGTAACATTGTTTATAAACATTGATCAGAGGGAGATAGAGAGATACAAAGTAACATTGTTTATAAACATTGATCAGAGGGAGATAGAGAGATACAAAGTAACATTGTTTATAAACATTGATCAGAGGGGGAGAGAGAGATACAAAGTAACATTGTTTATAAACATTGATCAGAGGGAGATAGAGATACAAAGTAACATTGTATATAAACATTGATCAGAGGGAGATAGAGAGATACAAAGTAACATTGTTTATAAACATTGATCAGAGGGGGAGATAGAGATACAAAGTAACATTGTTTGAATCTGCTACATCCAGTCTTGGGCTCTATGTGCTGCGGCTCATCATCGGGCTGTGTGGATGAGGTAGATGGGTCATTCGATGAATAGATGGAGCATCTCCCGACCTTCATTGTATTGTTCCCCTGGACTCGAAGAATGTTTGTGATTGGTTAAGGGGAATCTTTGTGTCTTCGCAGAGAACATCGCATTTGATTCTTGTGGGAAAAGAGTCGATAAATCTCCCAGCAAGAAAGCTCGGATAGTTGGTGGTCATCCTGGAAACTCGCCGTGGACTGTGAGCCTGAGGAACAGGTCAGTGGGGACCCCGGGCAGCCATTCCCGTTCCACTTCCTGCTCACGGCGACTTTCACTTCATGTTTTTTTTTTTCTTTTTCTGCATCCAGACAAGGAGACCATTTCTGTGGGGGGTCCCTGGTGAAGGAAAATTGGGTGATCAGCACTCGCCAGTGTTTCTCTTCATGGTAAGAAGTTGCACAGATATGGCGTGTATATAGGTTATGTACCATCCAGTGCTCAGCCATCTCTCTCCTGCAGTGACGCCGATCTGTCCGGATATCACGCCATGGTGGGAACACTCTTCACCAACCCAGCACCAAATGACCCCGATAAACAGTCCGTACCCATCAGCAAGATCATGTGTGGGCCCTCTGACTCCAGTCTGGTGATGTTGAAACTGGAGAGGTGAGAAAGGCGCTTACAGGGCTTTTTGTCTGTTGCAGTCACCCATATGTGGCTGTTCCTGGCACCAGCTACTTGGAGTATGTTGGCTCCCACACGTCCGTGGTCCCGATATACTCAGCTTTGTTTGGCAGGTTAAATCATCAGCCGAAAAAATAAATGTCTATGCTTGGTTCCGGGCTGTTGGGGTTTGCAGTAAAGTTGAGTTTGGGGACGGCGTTTCTAGTTGGGTTGAGTTCCAGTCCCTATCTATGTTGAGTGTTGGATTGGAGCTTCTAGTTGGGTTCAGTGTTGGGGTTTAGGTTCCTAATTTGGTTGAGTGTTAGGTTAGGCCTTCAAGTTAGCTTGGGGTTTCTAGTTGGCTTAAGCCACTGGCGGAACTACCAGGGTCGCAGCGGTCGCAATTGCGACCGGGCCCTGGCGTTCCGCCAATTGGGGGGGGGCCAGCGAGGAAGAAGAGT